TCTATCAGCCAACATTTCCTTCAAGGTTTTCCTTAAGCCTCGTGAAGCCAAATGACAGTTCTGGTGGACTGAGCCCAGTGGGGCAGAGGGATCTGGCTCGTAACCATGGTTTTTGGCTTGATGCTTCTATGAGTCCTCAACCAATATGTCCTTTGGGTCACCTGCAATAACCTCTCTTGGGTGACTTCCCAGCCTTGTCATCCGTCTGCCACATCCCTTCTCAAGTGGCATTTTACCCTTCCTCTCAGCCCACTCGCAGGACTCTTGATAAACTTCCCCTTTCATTTCTGCCTTCTTTTCCTACCTTAAAACATATACCCTAGTCCACAGTCCTAGACACTGCACAACGAGTAGGCCAGGCACTGTTGTATGTGCTTTAAATACATGGTCTTCATTTACCACTACAACATCCCCATGTGGTTGGTGTCACTATCTCCATCTCATAATTGAGGAAATAAGGACTGGAGCAATTAAAACAGAAGTTAATTTTAACCAATATATGATAAGGTCAAGTTTCAGTTGGTAGAAGGAAGGAAAGCCCAGTACTGTGGTCACAGCAAAAATAGTGAGGCCAACGAAGGTCTAGGATGGAATAAAAAAGAAGGGACAGATTAAAAAACAACTTTGTCTCTTTTTAACAGAATCTTGTGTGGAACAGCTGGTAGGAGTCATGCTGTGCTGGGTGAGGGGTAGAACGTCATTCTCGAGCAGAATATCTCTGCCCAGAGAGAAAATGAGTTTAGCTCTGTTAAGTGATCTTGTACTAGACAAAACAAAAAGGAGAGAAAGAACTCACTGAGAACAGAAACAAGAAATTAAAGATGCTTTTGAAGTATTTGATACAGACAAAGATGAAGCAATAGATTACCAGGAATTGAAGGTGGTGATGAGAGCCTTGGGGTTTTTGTAAAAAAAAAAAAAAAAAAACAGATGTACTGACGATTCTTGAAGAGAAGCCACAGGGAAAATCACCTTTGAAGACTTTAATGAAGTTGTGACAGACTGGATATCGGCAAGAGATCCACACGAAGAAATACTAAAGGCATTTAAGCTCTCTGAGGATGATGATTCAGGTAAAATAAGTTTGAGGGATTTGGGACATATTGCCAGAGAACTGGGAGAAAATATGAGTGATGATGAACTTTGAGCTATGATAGAAGCGTTTGATAAAGACGGGTGATGGAGAAATAAATCAAAAGGAGTTCACTGCTGCTAGGACTAGTGACATTTAAAGAATTCCAAGGGTAAACACTAAGAATATTGCAGTTACCATCTTAAATTCTATTTTTGTGCCTGGAGCCATGTTTTAAAGAAAAGCTAGCTTAGTTCTTTTTTTCCGGAAGGACCAAAACTAAACATCTCCCATGTTTGTATTTGTGATTGTTAAATGTCTCTGTGTGAACAGTGTTGTTAGTATTGAAATAGTTTAGCTTTGTATTTATAATATGGGTTTTATATAAAGTTTTTAAAAACCAAAAAAAAGAATCTTGCACATTCGATTTATTTATACTGTACATACATGTAGCTATACATGTGTGAATACATTTGTTATCATCTGTTGGACATATGGGATATTTCCAAGATTTAGCTATTATGAATTGTGCTACTATAATCATGGGTAGGGATGTTATCACTGTGATAGGATGTCTTTAACTCTTTTGGGAAGATACCTAGGAGAGGAAGAGCTGGGCCAAATGGAATATTTAGTTTCCACTTTTTTGAAGAATCTTCATACTGATTTCCATTATGGTTGTACCAGTTCACATTCCCATCAACAGTGTAGGAGGGTTCATTTTTCCCAGCAACCTCACCAGCTTTGTTATTTGATTTAGTAGAGGACTTAATATGATGTATTGAGAGTGACTCTTTTTACAGCTGTGTTCTCTCCAAGATCCATGATCTCCAACTAATCATTGATAAAAATATTTAACAAATTCCCACCATTGGACATTCTACAAAATATTTAACAAGCATTCCTCAAAACTGTCATTAAAAACTAGAAAATCTGAGAAACTGACACAGAAAATAGCCTAAAAATAGTGAGGAATAAATGTCACATGGTGTGCTGGATGAGATCCTGAGAGATAAAAGCAAATTAGATAGCAACTAAGTACATTCTGAATAAAGAATAGACTCTAGTTAATGATAACGTACTAGCATGTGTTGAATAATTTCAGCAAGTGTACCATTTTAATATAAAATGTTAATACTAGAAGAAAGAGGGTGTGGGTTATGTGGTGGGTTTGAGAGCTTTCTCTAATTTCTTTGTAATTGTTCTATAAATCAAACAACTTTAAAATAAGTTTATTTTAAAATTTTACTGTACTACATATTTTGTACAATATAGCTACTATGAAATAGAAAATCTAAATCTTTCCCCTTACATTTGAGCAATAAAAATATGTATAAAGCCCTCTTGTATTTCAATTTAAACAATAAAAAATATTTCAAAACCCAAACTGACTGAAATAAATAATTGTATAAACGGCAAGAGTAGATGAGTCACTACACAGAAAAATTTCAGATAATTCATGTGTCTATTTTGCCCTCAAGAAAGTAGGTTTTCACCCCCACTCTTTCTCTTTGGAAGCTTTTAGAATGTTCTTTTGCATTTAGGAATCTTAAATTTGCTACAATTACTTCAGGTGTGGGTGATCACAAAACTCTTTAATTCTTATATTGGACCTCTAGAATTTTGACTATGATGTGTTGTGGAGAGGTTTTTTTCTGATCATAGGTATTTGGAGTTCTATATGCTTTACTTATGTGTACATTAAATTCTTTTCCCACATTTAGAAAATGTTCTGCTATTATTTCAGTAAACAGATATTTTATGCTATTTGTGCTATCTTCTGATTTTTCACTAATTCTAATTTTTAGATTAGTCTTCTTTGCATCATCTGGCAGCTGCTTGGTCCATTTTTTAATGTTTTCTGGTTGTTTTTAAAGTATCTGTCATTAATCCATCAGCAACAACAGCCATGTCTTCAAGGTCAGATACTTTGAACTCACAATGATCACTTCTGCTGCCCATACTTCTGATAGAATTTTTAATTTCCCAAATTTCTATTTGGAGCCTACTTATGTAGTCTGTTTTCTGTGATGGTTGAGTTAGTTACTTTTCTCTGATTGCTGAGACAAAATACCTGAGACTCAAAGTTAAAGGAGAAAAGGTTTATTTAGTCACAGTTTGTAGAGGTTTCAGTCCATAATCAGCTGGCTCCAAGGCAGGGTAGCACATGGCAGAGGGGCAACCATTCATAGCGATGGAAGACAGCAAAAGTGACAAGAGGGGAAGACAAGATTCTTTCTGTCCCTTATATTGTATGCAGGCTACCCACCCTAGGGCAAGTGTAGCATTTACTCCCTTAATCCGCCATCACACACTCTAGATTCAGCCACTTCTGAAAAATCCCTATGACCACATGAGACTTTGGGGGACATCTAGACACAAGCCATAGCACTGATGTGTTGGATCAACTAATGGTAAATTTGTAACACCCAGATGAACTGAATCAGCTTGGTGCTGGGCGTGGATGGTCCACCTGAGGATTGCTGACATCAGCATAAAAAGAAAACTGGAGGGGGAAATGGTGTGCTATTGATTCTCCTGGAGAAGCTTGTCACACTGGCTTTCCTGATATGAACCAGGAGCTCAGGTCCTTGCCATCACTGAGGGTGGCTGCAGTTCTCTTTGGGGAAGCTCTGGTCCTTAATAGTTGATATGTTGTGTCAATTTGAGAAGTTTACAAGCTTAGCTAAGTAACTCAGCAGTTCTACATCCTAGTGTGTGAGGACATGCCTTACCACCTTTTGGCTTGTGTCTAGATGCCCCCCCCCCAAGTTTCATGTGGTCACGGGGATTTTTCAGAGGTGGCTGAATCTAGACTGTATGATGGTGAATTAAGCCCTTACCACTCTAGGATGTTGTTCACTGTGTCAACTTGAAAAGTTTAATTAAGTGGCTTAGCAAGGGTCAGGGTCCTCACTTTGTAAACATCCTAAGCCTGTGCAAAAGGAGGGTACAGAGATGATGTAAGTGCTACACCCACCCGAGGGCAGGTGTCCTGCACACAGTATAAGAGAGGAAAACAGGCTTATTCTCTCCCTTCTGCTCTTGCTGCTTTTGCTGTCTTCTGCCACATTGAACTATTGTCCCTCACCACATCACCCTGCCTTGCAGTTGTTGGTACTGATTGATTTTGGGGGGGATACCAATATCTGGATTACCTTGGGGCATTATAAATACTGTGGGCTGTTCCTGGAACACTGCAACCTCCCTTCTCAAGTAAACGGAGGTAGTTTTATCTTAAGAAAGAGCCAAAGACCAATAGTTAGCCACACCCAGAAGAAATAACTGAAAATAGACATTAAAGAAGTCTCCATACTAGAAACAAAGCATTTAGCTACAATCAACCTGTAAGCCTCAACACACACACATACACACACACACATACATACTCTATAAATATGAAAAGATAAGTCCTCTTATCTTATCTCCAAAAACTCCTAAGTCCCCCAAAAGCTGATCCGTGCAGCATTAAAAAGAAAGAAACCTAAAGCCACACACCCAAATTATTTGAAAAGATATCAGGGAACATAACAAAACAGATCAATAGGCATTTGGAAAACTCACAGAAGATATAATTAATAAGATATTTGGCCAAATAAGCAAATGACCTCAGAGGCTACAGAAGACACTAACAAAAAGCTAGAAGAGCTGAACAAAACAATGCAAAACATGCATGACCAGTTGTTGTAGTCAGGGTTTGCAAAAGAAACATTTTAATAGAGGACACATAATTTATAGGATTATTTTATAATATTCACCCAAAGAGTCAAATGCAAAAGAGTGCAAGAGATCTGTCCATACACCAGAGACCCCAAGAATCCAGCTGAGGGCCTGGGTCCTATGGCAATGTCCTGCACAAGTCCAGCTGAAGATCTAGAGCCCATAGCAATGTCCTCCACACGTCCAACTGGAGGCCTAGAGCCCATGACAATGTCTCATGCAAGTTTGTATCAAGGATCTGCACTGGGAAGGCCCAAAAGTCAGTGGTAGAAGCTAGAAAGTCTGCCAACAACTATGTCACTGTGGCTATAGTAATAATATCTAGTACAAACTAAATATTGACAAACCCTAAGGACAAATAAAGTATCACCCTTAACCACAGAAAAGAGATCTGTAATTATAGCATGACCACTAAGACAAACCAAATACCTACCATATAGAAAAACTTTATCTTTGCTCACAATAGAAAAATATTCAACAGCAATAAAGTAAACTATTTAGAGATTCATAGGGCTGGGTAGTTATACGAAAAGTGGTACTACTAGTTTAGGCATACTACTAAAGGTAGTACAACTAGCAAAGCAGAGACAAATTTTAAAAAGCAAAATTTGAAAAATGAATCAACTTAGAGACAGTGAGCTTTGGGGATGAGGGTGCAAGCTTGTCAGATGGTCACACTGTTTTCCACCTTGCTGGGTTGAAGGTACTCATAGGGCAGGTCCAGGTGTGCATTCCGGACCTCAATGTCTTTGTCCATGGCAGTCAGCTCCTCCCGGAATTGCTTCAGCACAGCCTGGGGCCCAAGACCTGAGAAATATTCCTCCGTATGCTGCCCCAGGGATACCTGGTGTGGGGCAAGATAGCTCAGCACTTTGGGCTTCTCAGCCAAGAACACTCAAGCAGCACCACCAGCCCCCCCACTACGCCGCCACCCGCCATGATCTAGACATCTGCTTCTAACCATGGCGGGTTGTTGTCTGCCAAGGAAGTTGATGAAAGTCTTCTGCATACGGGCTTGCTGGAGACTAGGCAGGGAATCCACTATGTCCTGCTCTGTCACATCCTTGCAGGTGGGTGGGGGTTTCCGCATGGTGCAGGGGCCATTAGGGACCCAGGAGTACCAGTCCAGCTGCAGGTAGGACAGCCACACCAAAGCCCAAGTTATAGCTCAGACATTTAGACACTGCCCCCCATCTTCTTCATCCCCGTAGCCAGGGAACACAGGTTACCTGGCCGAGGTGGGTAGAAGCATGCTGACCGGTGCACGCGAAGATGCACATGGTAACAAAATGACAGAGCTGAGCCTGGGACTCTAAGCAGAGGGGGAACCTGTGTGAAATGGAGAGAGTGAGAAAACCTGAGACCAGGACCAGAGAAAGTTGTAGAGCAGCAGGGAAAGTTATCTGGGGGTACGTAAGAGAACTTGATGTGGTCCTGGGCTCTAGATTCTGTCATTCACATATAGTGTGCACTCAAATGTTAATGCTCTTGGAATGAACCTGGGAGCTCTAGGAAAAGGATGGGAATAAGGAAGGGAAAATAACTGCGAGAAATCATGCATCTGATTCCAGAGAAAGCTCATGAGGAGGCAGAACACTGTACGGAAAGATGAGAAAGGAGAACAGCCAGAAAGATCAGGAATGACTGTTAGGATTTCTGAAAGCTCTGGAGATCAAAGAATACTCTACCTTTCAAAAATGTCTTATGCTGTAGGAAAGGTAGACTGCTGACTGGGTGCTGAGACAAGCTAATGGTGCGGGGGGCGGGGGGATCCATGCTTTACCCTCGGTCCTGGGCCCCCTGCAGTCCAACCTCAGTGACTTCTCTACACCATGCCTGCAGCTCTGGATCATGCTTCACAGCTTCATCGCTCTTGTAGAAAAGCCCAACCATCCCATTCACATACCTGTTCCCAAGGGAAGAAGGAGCTCAGTCTCAGGCAGCCAGGGTAGGACCTACAGTGCCCCTCAGTCTGTCCCTCCCTGTGTCACCCTTACCGACTGATGATTCCCCACAGCCTGAGGGCATCTTGGCCATAGAGAGAAGATTTCACATCCAAGAGCCCACGGTCAGCCAGGTCATCAGGAGGACAGAAGGAACGATAAGTCAAACAAGCTGTGGCTCTCTGGAGAATCTCCACATGGCCACCCCTTCCTGTACTCACCACCTGAGAACCAAGTAGGGTTAGCCAAGCCAGGTGAGAGAGAGTGTAGAACCGGGAGGTTATTCAGTTATACAGTAGATCATGGCGAGGCCTTTGGTAGAGGAAGCAGAACTTGGGAGAGGATGGGGCAGAGGACCACCACTGGAATTCTAACATGGAACCCTCCTCCCTGTTCACCCATCCCTTTCCATACCAGATCAAAAATTCCAAATTCAGAGACAAGGTTGCTCCGGGCCAAGGTGTTGATCTCCATGGTGTAGTGAAAGTGGGGGATCAGGAGCTGATTGTGAGGAAGAGAAATGCAGCACAAATAAGAGTTCCTAGAATCCCAGTGGGAGGGTAAGTGAAAGGACTGGCCATTTTAAGAAGAAAAACGGAGAGGCTGGGTCTTGATGAGAGGAAAGACTTGGAAGAGAGAGCTGGAAAAATATTTCTTCAGATCTTCCAAAATCAAAGTTTTAGGAGTTCACTTATTTGCACAGTCTCATACTCTTTCTCAGAATCACGGGAATTCCTGGTCTCACATCACAAAATCTAGCGGGTTCTCACCACAGGAGCCCTTCCGCTTTTGTCCTCCCTAGCACCTCATGCCCCCTACACACACCATACAAACGTGCTTGGCACTGGACACCCCATAGAAGGAAACTTTCCTTGACGCATCCCTCTCCAGCAGGCTCTTTGTCTCAATTCCCCTTTTCAGGAAGTCTTCGCAGCCACATTACCTTTACTTCCTCACTGCAGACTCCGTTCAGCCCACACCGAGCAGGCTTCCAGTGCCTCCCTTGTTGGAGACAGCACCGGTCAGTGTACTCCGCAGTGCCGTCCACACTGATGAATCCAGGTAGCCTTTCTCTGTAACTCTACAGCACCTGTCCTCAGCCTTTGAGGCAGATAACTATATCCGTTCTTGAAACATTTTCTTCTCCTGATGCCATGAATCACACTAGTTTTTTCCCCTAACCTCAATGGGTATCCCGCCTCTGGTGCTTTCTCTCACTCCACCTTCCCTGCTCAATTTTTAAAGGCTGTGACACTCTAAAATTACATCCAGGGCCAAGTGTCCTGCTATGTCTACAAACCCTACAAGGCTTTTTTTGGTACAATGGTTTTAGACACTTCTATTTCCGGATAAAATCCACCCTGATCTCTTCCAGCAATTCCAGGCCCCTCTATCCAGTTGTTCTCCAGACATTTCCAAATGGATTTCTGTAGCACTGCAAATTCCACACGGCCAAAGCCAAGCGCTTGCTTCTTCTCCCCACCAAGCAATACGACTTTTTCTCTCCTCTTCTCCCACTTCCCTTTGCCCCCACCTAGCACTCCAATAACCATCGTCCTACACTTCAGCCACACCTCACATCCATCATTATCCACGCTCCTTTCATTTCTCGCCCCTACATAGCCCTTTCTCTGGAACGTCGCCATCCCTCGCTATCCACCTGACAACCTCCTCAGTCAAAATTTCAGTTCCTTTGTAAAACCTGTTCTCTTTCCCCAACTCATAGCAAATGTGTGCCTGGGTGTTTCCATAGCACACTGGTATGTGTGTGTGTACACATCCACTAAGATTGCAGCCAAGCTAACCTAATATGCTACAATGTTAGACCCTGGATAGATCCCTACTGAGGCTAGGAGTGTGAAGCAGAAAGGGTAGTTGGATACAAAACGACAGAGGTGCAGGAGTACCTTGTAGATAGGGTGCAGGCTGGGCAAGCTCCTCATTGTGGCCACAGAAATAACCTCAGCCACCAGATGTCCCCTAAGCAGATGTGACTGTAACTGGTGCAGCTGGAAATCAGAGCTCCGGACCCATATCTTGGCCAGGAGCCAGGCCATGGGGGGATCTGAAGGCAGGAAGAGCAGAGGTGGAGGGTGTCCCTGTTGAGGCGGCTGGAGCTAAGCAGGAGAGAGGATGGGAGCTGAAGACCTGTGTATCTAAGTCCCCAAAGGAGATCAATACACAGGAAAAAAGATACCTGGGTCCTTTTACCTGAATGACCATGGGTAAAAGTCTTCCATCCGGCTGTAGCTTCAGCATAACTAAAGGGGCTGTCACATATTGCTGCTTAAAAATGATGACATTTGGCTTAACCCCATCCAGCAGTGAGAAATCAGCTTCAAACAGAGATCCAGCCTGTAGGGGCAAGAGCGAGGACAAAGATGTTGGAATCACTTCTGGACCTTCTCTCATTTGCCAAGGTGGATCCTTCCTCAACCCCTCCAAGTCTTATTTTAAACACCAACTGTGTGCCCCAGAACCAAAGCTCTGAATGCAAGATTTAATGTTCAATATTTTCCACCAGATTTTAAGCTCTATGAGTTGAAATTTCTGGCTTTCCACCATACACCACCACTCCCAACCAACGTCTTCTCTTCTCCCTCCTCCGTAGCTTTGGCCAAAGGTAGCACAAAATGTTTCCTTTATCCCCCGCCCCCCGCAACACACACAAATAAGTCTAGCTCTCCAAGGCTTCTCCCAGTCTTTCTTGCGGTTCCTTTCCAGAAGCTTGAGCTTTTAGAGCTGAGACTGAGATACATTTCACTAGGAAGGAAGAAATGAATGTAGATGAGAAAGAGGGAAATGAAAAGAAAATGGAGGAAAGATTGTTTAGATCACCGTTCTCAACTAGAGGCACTCTGTGCCCCTCCCACATCTGGCAGTGTCTAGAGACAATTTGGGGTCACAATTGGGGGGATATATTGATATCTGGAAAGGAAAACCCAGGGACCGGTAGTAAAACTCTGTAACACTCAAGGCAGTGCCTTGTAACGATTATCTGGCGCCAGAGCCGAGAGGCCTTCAGTGCAGGTAGAGAATATAGTTGAGCTGGCGTACACGGAGCACAAAGGAGATAGGAGGGGTAGGAGGAAAGGTGCTGGAGCACAGAGGGAGCACAGCACCTGAAGCTCTTTCTCCAGCTGGGTGTGCAAGTCTTCCATCCCTGGAGGCAGCAGCAGCCGGGCTGGGAGGCTCTTAGAGCGCCTCAAAAGCACGGGGTTTGCACCGTTGAGGAACTGGTAGCCGAAGAGGGCGTCATCCTTCCAGCAATCAGAGACCCGCACTGAGGACATGAGTTGAGGGCAGTGTGAGCCCTGAGCTCTCCGTCCCATTGACGAACGTCTCCTACTCTCCCTTCCCTCTTCTTTCAGATCCCTTGCTCGGAATTCTGTACACAAGTTTAGGGAGGGTGTGGTAACTGACCAGCCAGGGGAGTCTTTCCACTCGGGAATACTTTTTTGAAATCTTCCAGGCTTTTTACACAAGTTGCAAAATCCAGTGTTCCTTTAATAGCCAAATCCTTCAACCTACATAAAAAAAAAAAAAAAAAAAAGTGTGCACAAAGATCAAGAAAGATCCTGCCTTGCAGCCTAAGAACAAAGGGTCCGACCTCAACGTGGCACTCACTCTTTTGCCAGAGAGAAGGTGAAGTCTAAATTCTTATTCTCCAGGAACCGCTCGTCCCTCGGAAGGTCCTCCCGCGTACTCCCTGCTATCGGCAGGATCAGCCCAGCCTTCCAGGAGCCCCAGCTGGAGGAAGAACACGGATTGCGGGGTGAGTGGGGCGCCGGGCTTGGGATCTGGTAGGGGAGCCGAGACTTTCTCCCACTCACCGGTACACTTTCTTTCTGTCCTCCACCTCCTGCTCCCGCTGTCTCTTAAACAGGTTCTGGGGGTCGTCACTCACAGTCCGGGCTGCAGGGCGCACAGGGGCTCTCGCCTTCCTTCCACACCCGCTCCCGGACCTCTCCGTCGGCCCCCTCCCCAGTCCCACGCTTTAACTTCCCTCTCCCTCATCTCCCGTTACTGTGCATCTCCCCGACCGCTGCGGTCTCCAGCCGCACCCCCTTCCCCAGGGCCCCACCTGTGCCCTCCGGCAGGCAGATAATCCCGTCGTCCTGCACCCAGCGGTAGCAAGGAAAGAGGGCCTCGTCCTGCGTCCCGGGGCCCTGAACCGTGATCCACTTGCAGAACCAGTCAGAATCCAGCAGGAGTTTGCGTTTGCGTAGCTTCACCAGCAGGAGGCGCCCCAGGTGCAGAGGGACGTCGATTTCCCACTTGGTGTTCTGCGGGACAGAGCGCGGTTCCGAGGAGCCTCCAGAGCAGCTTGGCCCGCTCGCCCCCTCGGAGCACACCCGGGAGAGACGGGACTGGAGAGGGGAAGAGCCGCGCTGCCCGGCCCCGGCCTCCTTGGCGCCCCAGTCGCCCCCCAGCTGGTGTCAGGTCCACCCCCACCGAGGACCCCCCAGCAGCGTGCTCCGCTGCTTTCCGCTTTCCTATCGGGGCCTCTCCGGCCCTCGTCCACCGCGCCCCGCGTCCCGCGCCCCCTGTCCCTGCCCGACCCGCACCGACCCTGCCGGGCAGCGGCGGCGGCAGCTTCCCGAGGTCCGCCTCCCCGTGCTCGCCCACCAGCCACAGCTGCACCCAGTTGGCGGAGCCCGCCCAGAGCGAGCTCCCGGTGGCGACGCGGATGGTGTACTTGCCCATTTCGCCTGGACCTGGCCGGGACCTGGGAGGTCGGCAGTTAAAAGGATCTGAGACCCAGCCCCCAGGACGCCGCCCCCGGACCAGAGACCCGGCGCGGGGGTTCCGGGATCCGCCCCTGCCCTCCCCCTCCGCTCAGACGCTAGCCAGCACCCTCTCTGGCCCCAGGAGGTCTTCCCAGCAGTCCGCGAAGGCGCGGCCCACCCTCGCCAGCTTGGCAAGCGCTCCCCAGGCCGCTGTCACCCAGCCAGGAGCTGAACACACCGCCCGCCGATGATGGAAGATAAGCGCCAGCATCCCCTGCCGATTTTGGTGAAAAAAATGAATGAGACGGCAACAGATGAACTGCTCTATCTGCTCAGCCTGTGGGCCGCTCTCCCTTTCCCAGCACTGCGACCGGAGAGAGAAGGAAAAGAAACGAAGCCCCCAAGGATTCTCGAGGCCAGGTGAAACCCGGCTCAGTTCTTTTTCCTTCGGTTCTGTGAGGTACCCAGGTTCCCTTTCAATACATCCCACTATTAGAAAAGGAGCCCAAGTTTATATTTATACTTCAGCTCTTGAGACGTGTCACTGCTTGGTTCTTTCATTTCCTTCTGTGCATCAATCCCTTGGACTCACTCCTGATAGGATGGGGGCGGGGGTTCTATGTGGCAGAGTTGATTGCTCTAGAAACCCTCTTGGGTCGAGTCCACAATTTTTCAATCATTTTTGTTTAGTAGCGGCCTTCTTTCCATCGATCAGCCGTTCCTCATACCTTCTCCAACTGTAGCCTCCCTGCACTCTGGTAATCACCATTGTTCTCTCAGCTTTTATGAGAACACCTTTTTTAGATTCCACATATATATGAGATCATGCAATATTTGTCTTTCTATACCTGGCTTATTTTACTTAACATAATGTCTTCCAAATATATCCATGTTGTCACAAATGCCAGGATTTCATTTTTTATGACTGCATAGTATCCCACTGTGAGCATGTATTGCATTTTCTTTATCCATTCATCAGTTAATGGACAGATTGTTTCCATAGCTTGGCTATTTGAATAGTATTTTAATCTACATGTATCCTGAAATTTTTCTGAATTTGTTTATTCTAGTATTTTTGGAGTTCTAGGGATTTTCTACATATAAGATCATGGCATTTACAGTGGCAATTTGACTTCTTTCCAGTGTGGCTGCTCTTTATTTCTTTGTCTTGCTCAATTGCTCTTCTAGGATTTCCATCAGTATGTTGAATAAGAGTAGGTGTCTTGATTAGCTCTCTGTGGATAGCCAGATCTTAGAGAGAATATTTCATGTGTTTAAAATTTCCTTAGTACATGTTTGTAGTTCACAATGATTACACTCATTTTGGGGATTTCATATATGTGTATAGCCTGTCTTCGTTTTTTGTTTTTTACTTCCTCTTTCCCTCCTTTAAGCCCTGCTTCAGCCATCTCTTAGTCCCCTTCACCAAAGACCTATTGCCCTGTTTCCTATTATCCATCTTTTATTTTGTCCTTTAAATAATTTATCCTTTGAGTTTCTCATATAAGAGAAACTATGTGATATTTAACCTTGTGGGTCTGATTTATTCCCTGTAACATCATCTCAAGATACATCCATTTTTGGGCTGGAGATATAGCTCAGTGTTATAAGTGCCTGCTTGGTAAGTGCAAGGTCCTGAGTTCAATTCCTGGTACCACACAAAAAAAGAAGATACATCCATTTTCCTACAGATGACTCAAATATATACTTCTTTATGGCACAATAGTACTCCACTGTGTATAAATACCACATTTTTGTTATCCGTTCATAAGCTGATAGACATACAAGGCCCTTCTAAGACTTGGTTATCATGAGCGGTGCTGCTATAAACATGTGTGAGTCAAGTGCAAGGTCGTGAGTTCGGTTCCCGGTACCGGAGAAAAACCAAAAAAAAAAAAAAAAACATGTGTGAGTGTGTATCACTGTAATATGGCGTCTTTAACTCTCTTGGGTAGATATCTAGAAGGGGAATATCTGGGTTGAATGCAATTTCTAGTTGTAGGTTTTTGAGGACTCTCCATACTGATTTCCATCGTGGTTGTACTAGTTTATATTCCTGCCGGGCAGGTAGAAGGGTTCCTTTCTCCAGCTGCCTTGCCAGCATGTGTTATTCTGTGGGTTGGGTGGTTGGTTGTTGGTGGCAGCCATTCTTTATAAAAATGGACTCTCAGTGTTGTTTTCACTTGCATTTTCTAATGGCCAGAAACGTTGAACATTTTTTCCATGTATGTTTCATGTATTTGTACTTCTGAGAAATGTCCATTCGTTTCAGTTGCCCTTTGTGTGTGCACGTGTACTTTAAACAATTTATTTAACTGAAATGCCATAGAGTGACTTCCACTTATTTTGATACATTTTTTCCCCATGGAGATTTACAGGATCTTCAAGCCAGTATAAATATTTCATAAATATTTGACCATCTGGGTATACACCTACACAATATCTAGGCAATATCTTTTTCAGCCAGAAAAACATTGAAGAGTAAAGACCTGACACAATTAACTAGGTACAATAAAAATCTGCTTTAAATATTTGTTTCTGAGATAAAGGCACCACACACCTGTTCAATGAAGAAAACCATCCTTACAACACAGGACGATCCTTTATTCTTAAGTAAGACCTAGAAAACCTAGCCACTAATTAGGTGCTGAATGGCAGAACTGCATCCCCAGCTTATGCTTTTTAGTTTTTTTGTGGGTACTGGGAATTGAACTCAGGACCTCACATTTGCCAGACAGGCGCTGCACCACTGAGCTATAGCCCCAGCTCCCAATCCCCAGCTTATGCCATGAATTCATAGGAAATAGCTTCCAGCAATGCAGGCTCCTTCCCATTGGTTCTCACAAAATGTGCTTCTCTGGGCAAGGCAGGCTGGTGCTTCAGCTGAACCCAGGCTGGAGTGTACTGACAGGGGCTCTTCTGGAACTGGTATAGGGGGCATCTCACAAACCTGTAGTCTGTGAAGCTAGGCAAAGAGAGCGGTGACTTGGGATGAACAGGGGGACATGGAAACTGGGAGTGGCTAGAGCAAATATGGCCCTAGAGATGACTAACCACATCCAGCAGGAAAGATGAGGCAGGACACAGCATTCACAGACAAAAACCTGAAGGGCAGGAGGGGTGAATAGTTATACAGTTCTAGTTCCGGGTCTATATGATTTAGTGCAGCTATAGAAAGACTACAAAGCATGGGCTTAGCTTGTGACAAAGGAACAAAGGTGTTTGACATTTTACATAGGGGATAAGCAGTCTTATGACAGAGCATGGGGTAGTATCCAGTTAGGTAACTATGACAACCTTTACAAAAAACAAACAAGGAAATAGAAACTTAAGCTTTAAAATGGCACTAGAACACAAAATGGCGTTGGTTTAGTTTTCTTTCCCGTATCAGTAGTTTCTTTTCAGGGTTTGCAGTGCTAGAACCCACAAGATATGGGGGAAGGATAGTGGGTCACTGCTAAGTCCTATTTCGTTTCCACACTCCTGTTTTTGTTCGTGAATGCTGAGTCCTGCCTCATCTTCCCTGCTGGATGTGGTTAGTCAATCACGTCCACCCAGAGCTATATTCACTCCAGCCACTCCCGGCTTCCATGGCCCCCTGTGCACCCCAAGTCACTGCTCTCTGCCTAGCTTCACAGACTACAGGTTTGTGAGATGCCCCCTATACCAGCTCCAGAAGAGCCTCTGTCAGTACACCCCAGGCTGCGGCAGCTGTCCATGCTGAGGTGAGGTGTGTCCTTGATTATGCTGGCAGATGGTGGAAGCAAGCAGACCACTGAGTACTGCACTGGATGTAGGCAGTGGGGGCGTTGCAAGCAGTCTGCTGGGCTTCATGGACTTTCAGACCCAGCCTCCTCCAAAACCACACACAACCAGACAGGCTGTATATTGGTGCTGTTTTTTTCTCCAACATTTTAATCACTCATTTTTTCCAGTTCAATATAAATTTTCTTTCTCTCTTTGAATTTCATCCTCTGATATGTACTTGATGAAGGAAGCCACCATAATATGAAGGATTTCAATTTAAGTGTCTGGTCAAAGGTTTTTCTGCTACCTTCTACTACAGGCAATGTTTGGTTTTCTCAGAGCAATCAGTATTCAGCTGCATGCTCATGCTTGCTAGGAAAAAAAAAAAAAAGCTCCTAGAGAAGGAGCCATATTCCATCCGTGTGATATCCCAGTGTAATGTCAATGGAATAGATTATCTATTCCACTGTTTAGCCTTGAAAACCTGCAGTCCTGTAGCTTCTGCCCCTTTGCTAACCTCCATGCTTCTCCATGTGCAGCCATAGGAACCACTGATACTCTCTTCTACATCCCTTAAAGGCTGCAGAGAAGTAAGATAAGTGGGAAATAGCTCCATCTTCTTTCAAGACGCTATGCATTACAGTTTCTCCAGCCTTTCTTTTCACTCTTTACCGAGAAAGTGTCTCATTCAAAAACTCCAATGAGATTCCTTCATTCAAAAATCTCCAGAACAATAGCAAACACAAATTGCCATATGCCCTCAAATTCAGAAGACATGTCAAATACCTCCTCCTCCTTTTTCTCTTTCTCCTGCTCCTGCTCCTCCTGCTCCTCCTCGTCCTCCTCTTCTTCCTCCTCCTTCTCCTCCCCCTCCTTCTCCT